TGAGGACAGAGTCCATCCACACACCCCAAGCAGCTGCAGTGCCACAAACTACACGCATACACACACCTTCCTCTCTATTGCTGTTTTTCTCTACTCCTCCTGGCCCACACCTCTCCAACAACAACCTTTCATATTCCCTCTATTCACTTTTCAATTGGTAACGTCTTTCTCTTTCTGATAAACCACAGAAAGGAGAAGTGACAGAGGACGTAAAAGAGGCCTCCTCCCTTTCATCTTTATGTTGCCGCTGCCCTTTCGCTCATCTCTTCTTTGATAGCTTTTCTAAGATTGGCAGACGACCACAGACAGGATTGGCAGAAAATCAGGGATACGTATTCTCTCTCACAAACACACACACACACTGGGGGATGTTCAAGGAACAGCCATACAGTCATTTCTCTGTTGGGTTCCTGTTTACTTGGTCTCATCTGTCTTCCTGTCTGTGCACAGAAGCTATGATAATTAATAAATAGCACCTAATAAGCTGACCCGAGGTGTTTGTACATAAAAGAAACTCATCATGAAACTCTATTCATCCCTGAAGTTACATATACAACAACACACGGTTCAATGGACAAAGGCATTACCAAGCAAGTACACACACAGATCCAAGACATGCAATTGTGTACCTATGTACTGGTATATCAAAAAAATGTGGTTTAGTTTTCATTCAGCTACTATAGCAAAGCGTAAGTGTATGTGAGTGTGTGGGTGTGCGGTAGAGATGATAGATGTGGGGGTTGCACAATCAAACTGCATACTTATTGGTGCTTTTTAGTTGTGTATAAAAACAGTTTGCATGAGTAGGTAATGCTTAAGTGGTCATACAAGAGAATTTTAAGAACAGCCTGAGTTCCTCTTTGAATCTTGAAACCAAGTGATGAAAGCAAGATACACTAGCAAGGTGGACACAATGCTTGATTTTGGAAATTTAGGAAGAGATTCCTCTTAGTCGGAATAGGTGTAAAATCATTAAGTATTTAGGATAGACATTAAATAGGCTCTTCAGTCAGACACATCTTTCACCCTGTGTATAATACACCAGTTTCAACACCTGTATATGGTGTTACAACAAGTTGGCACATTATTTCTCAATGATACAACTGTCATTAAAGATTGCCTCTGTTTCCTAACAGTTTACACCACAAACAAATACTGTTTCTTACTACCACAGACAAAATTGCATTTCCTTTGTTTATTTGTTTCAAACCTAAACCTCACTTCACTGATTGGCCTCTTTTTCTAGAAACTGGCAAATACATAGACAAAATTATCATAATATTCTGTGAAACAGAGGCTGCTTCCTCTGGTAGGGAGAAGTGTGGTCATGGTTTGTGATAAGAACACAACAATTTCATAATTCATTCTCCATTTAAAGTCCTGCATTCAACTTAAATAAAAGTACTAGTAAATTATTAAATCCCTGGACCATTATAATTCATGCATTTGTATGTAAACAACACTTTAATGTTGTGGTTTGTAAAGGTGGAGCTAATTGTAACCACTTCATACTGGTGGGTTTACTAAGTAGTAGTTCAGTAGTAATTGTATAAAGAAAAATAATTAAGTAAAAAAAAGCTCAAGTACAAGCACCAAGTACAGCACTTGAGTAAATATTCATAGTTACTTTCCACAACTGTAGAACAGTAATTTTGTGTATATTTGCACACTCTGAACAATATGGGCAAGTAAACAAATTCAGACTTATAAGGAGCTAGCATCTATTCAGTGCACTCTTATGAAATCACAATAGCATCACCCTCCATCCTCACACTCGCAAACATCCAAATCCAAATGACACACCCTTTCCTGCACGGTGGACTGCAGATAAGCTGCTCCCAGCGGGGAGCTCACCATGGGAACACAGGGCAACACACACAGCTGTCAGATCTGTAGAGTTTTAGTACTTTTACACCACTTCTGTGCTCAGCTCAGACTTTCAATCCTCCTCCTCCTCTTTTCGTGTTTCTCCATCTCTTTTCTTACCTCCCTTTCTCTCTGACTCTCTCCCTTGTTAGCAGGAAGCCCAACAGGATGCAGAGTGTGAGTGGGGCAGGAATGATAGGACAATGGGAAGCAGGCTGTCACCGAACCCTAACACGCATAACAAATACTCATAGAGTTATGTTACATACACTCCAACAGAAAGGAAAGGGAGACAGCACTGGTGGGGGGGGGGGGGGGCCAATGGAAAAGTAAGGTGTCTCGGTCATTGGGACATCCTGTTTCCACATGAAGTCATCACTTCCTTTTGATAGAGAGGACAGACGTGGCTTGTTGGAAAGCATACATGAACATTTACAAGAAGTTAGTTTCTGAGAAAAAACAGTCGCATCTTGTTTCTGAAGCATTAGGGGCTCAGGGCCTATTTCTATGGGGCCAAAATGAAGAAGAGACGTTGTCTTGTCTGAAGACTTCCTCGTCAACAAAATACATTCAGCTGACACCCCCCCACCCACCCAGTGGTGTCCAAGGGTGCTAACATCAGGCAGTACCGGGAGAGCTTTGGTGAAGAAATGTAACATTATTTCAATCACACCCCTACCCACCCACCCCCCAACTAAGAAATATATTCACGCCCCCTTCCTTCCTGCCTAACCCCGAGGCTAAAGACAGGAACTGACCTCGTAAAGAAACAGGAAGTGATGAAGTATGGCCTTGGACAGTCTAACCGTGCTTTTCCCCATCTGACCCTCAAAATTCCACGACAACTCCTTCACACAGACCCACAAGACATTTTCAGTGTTGTGAAACAAAGGTTTGGAGAAGGAGGGGTGATTATACAACCCCCACCTAGCCTATCATTATCAGGGAATAACCACCTGCGCCAATCAGACCATGTTAAGGCCACAGAAACACCTTAGATAGATGGACATGTTAAGGAAACATGTGACCCCGCCTTTTCCTCAAGGTGGTTTCCTGTTGGCATCTTTCCAAATAAATCTCAGTCCTTTACTGATAAAGAAATATGCTGCTTGTGAAGAAAAATGTATGTAATCTGACTGACAGAAGGTGTTAACCCTCAAAGACCATTCTGAGAATTTATCTATCAAAGACATTTGTGACACTTACACTTACAGACAGAAATGTCCAGTTGATCCAAGATGATGCAGACAGCGTTTGCCACAAATCCAGAGTTAGTTGACACTTTGAACTTTTTTGATTCAACACTAAATATTCTACTAAAACTGATAAGACTTGTCTATAACTACTAGGTCCTTCATAGGAAGAGATCACACAAGAAAGAACTTGTGTCTAAAGTCTCTGGTAAATTCCACTCTTTCAATACAGGAATATTTGCAGTTTGATTTCCAAATATAATCCTCTCTGGTATCTGTAAAGAAGGGTGGAAGTACTGGTGGCTTCTCACAAGCAATGACCCAAACTTCCTTTTATTTAACAGTGAGCACTCCAGAGTTACCCAATTTTCACAACACTAAACACTCAACAGAATTCTGACTATTTCATTTTGAAAATAGACAAAGGGGACTGAGGTGGCGGTGAGCTGCTGAAAATACCCACCTTGGTTTATTCGGTGCTTTCAGTGTTCTTTTACCTACTAAGTTAACTAACTACAAAGTAACTGGCTCCCAGTCTTAGTCAGATGTGAACTATAGACAACTTCCTCCGCCAATAGCTACAGAGCAATGACAAAGTTAAAATGGACAAATACATTTAAAAAGCGATGGAGAAGTACCTCTTCATATTTCATGTGAGATTCTCACAGCTGTTGGTAAATCATATCCTCTTCTAAAATAACAAACCATGTAGTTAATGCCATAATTAACATTTAATAGTACAGAACAGTATATAATAAACACAGTGGACATACCCAACACAGAACTCGTCGTTTATCCTAGAGTGAGCCGCACAGGGACTGAGGTGAGAGTCAGCGGTGTCTGGAGGCTCGCGGGACGCAGGGAGAAAAGCTGCGCGCTACTGCTGCGCTGCGTAAGTGAAATAAACTGTGAGCGCGTGCCTCGTCCGGAAGGCTTGGGGAACGGACTTCACGTGCGCGATGAGGTCCACCCCAGACGAACACGCGCGTACAGTGGACAGCGGAAAAATGACCTATTAGATTCAACAGAAATGATATTATTAATACTTATCTTTTTTTAGAAATGGGGACAATGCACGTTTACTCATAAAGTATGAAGTACAATGTATCTTCCAAGTACGAACCTGTCAAATAGAAGAACTTTACACATCTCATAGTAAACGCCTAATTTAGCCTTTCATCACACCGGAGTTCCCAACAAGAAATTTGCTTTAAAAATAGATGTCACGGTTCTGACATGAAAGCTGAGCGCACGAGAATAGCACTAACGTCTAGATAATGTGGAAGTACTGCATGAGCAGCTTGAAGCGTACGCACTGATAAACTTGCGGTAACCGCTGCTGATGCAGTCTGAGTGAGCCTCGGCTCAAGTGCAAATGCAGGGTAGATGCGACACATTCATTCCCTTGTGTGAACTACAGGAAGACTGAATGAGGCGCGATATCCGCGTACAAAGAAGTTGAAGTCTACAGAAACAAGCTTAAAGGATGAGACTTTTAATTTTTGTGCGCTTTACTGACACGCCACTTTTTTTTTTATCCCATGCTGATATTATTTTGAAAACGGATTACCTCGTAGGCGTCTACCAATGTACTATACCAAATCATGCACTTTCAGCTGCGAGTCATGTAAACAGGGCAGATGTACTGTCACTTTCAATTCATCTTTAAGACTGCGCTGACTTGATAAACTAGTGACTGATAAGATTATTTAAAGCCTTTGTCTCCATCTTGTGGTGCGTCAGTGTAACTGCGGAGAAATATCAAGTAATTTAGGCTTGTCTCGAGTCATTTCTCACATTGTTTGGTCAAAGAATATCGTGGACCCTATATTTTCCCAACCTTGAAGTGTAGAACAGCATTCGGACAAATTGACAACACTTTGTTTTATTTTGATAACAAAGTAACTTTTTATTGTATATAAAAATACAAGTTATTTTGTCTTGTTTTATCTCAGCCTCTGTGTGCTGCAGAAAGAGAGGACTGAGGCATGAGTAGTTATGGTGTGCTGTAAAGTGGTTAACAGATATTGGTTGGAACAGGCGTGTCTAATACAAACAATCAATATTCTGCAAAGGAAACACCTGAATCATGATGATGATTTAGTTATACCAGACCTAATCCCGCCTGCACACCTGGCATGCAGCATGTAGACATGTCTATGTGTGACAGAAACGTGCGCCACCTGAGCTCAAGCAGGAAACAAATCTGACATTTCAGTGCATAATAAGTAAAACATTTTAAATATCAGGTATTCCAGTCATAAAGCAACATCAAAATAATAACACTGAAAAATAAGATATGCATATACAAGCATTTAATGTAGTGTTTGTGCAAGATATTCTGTTGATGTGTAATGCATCGGGCTGTGGCATGTCACAGCTGGCTCAGCATCTGCAGAAATGCGCAAGTGACTGTGTCATCTCATGTAATGTGTGATGGCTCGTAAGGTGTAAAGAAGGGCTGCCTGTAGCCGGGCTTCCATCACTATAAGGTTTGCATGAACCTGAGAGAAAAAAAACGTCATTACCTTCAGGTTATTAGGTGACACACTTTCAAAGTCCTGTAACGCTTCCTTCTCTAATGACATTTAAAAAGAAAGGGAGAAGAGTAAACGCTGAAATGTCAAATGATTCATTCTCTGTTGAAGAGGTACCAAAGAGAGACGACATGTTAAAATGTCAAATGATTCATTCATTGTGACTGAAGAGGCTGGGTCAGGTGCGTATTTGAACTCATTCATACCTTTTCAGAGTGTCTGAAGTGCCTCCAGAAGGAATGGTAAATGCGTGCAGTGGTCTGCTCAGGGTGACAGGCCATGGTTTTAACAAACACCTTCAGTGTGCGTTCCAGCAACACGTTCACACTTCCGTAGTCGTAATCATCATATCTGCGTATGTTGAGTAACTAAAGTTAGTGACACAGACAAACAAAAACACGTTTAAAATTTTCATTGCACACATGATGGTTTACAGTGTGTTACACTGACCGTATCCCATAGAGGCAGTGGATGTAGTTCCACAGAGCTTTTCTCAGAGTGTGAGTGTCCACACCTTCATGCATGGCCATCCTGTGATATGTCAAGTTACTCACCACCTGTAATATGACAATTTAATCACATGTTAATATAGTCAATCCATCTGTTCTCTAATAGTAAATCAATTTAAATTCTGTGATCAAAAACCAAGATGCAAAAGAGCAATGTCATCATCTGGTTGCAAAGACGGACACAAACTGTTTTCATCTGTCATTCAATGCATCTTCTATGAAAGTTCATCCCAACCTTTTTGACTTTTTCTTTGATTGTGGCCTGTTAACATGAAGGAATGTCTACTTGAGATCCCATCTTATAGGTTGCATGTCTAAGATGTGTGTGCAGAGTGGCTATTTCATTTGAATTGCTTTTAGAGGCCTGATGAGGTACAGCAAAGAATAAAAAAGAAAACAACTTTCTGTAGAATTTTTTTTTTCCAACACCATCTACTCATCCTGCGACCCCCAGATTGGGAACTACTGTTTTACTGACAAGCACTTTATTAGGAACACCTGCTCATTCATGCAATTACCCAATCAGCCAGTCATATGGCAGCTGTGCAATGTATAAAATCATGCAGACACAGGTCAGCAGCTTCAGTTAATGTTCACATTAAACATCAGAATGGGGAAAAAATGTGATATCTCATTGACATTTAATGACTGTTGGTGCCAGGCAGGCTGGCTTGAGTATTTCTGAAACTGCTGATCTACTGAGATTTACACACACAGCAGAGGTTAGAGAAGAACGGTCAGACTGGTTGGAGCAAACAGAAAGGCTACTGTAACTCAGATCACCACTCTTTACAACTACAATGAGCAGAAAAGCATCTCAGAATGCACAACACGTCGAACCTTGAGGCTATAACAGCACAAGACCACATTGGATTCTACTCCAGTCAGCCAAGAACAGAAATCTGAGGCTGCAGTGGGCACAGGTTCACCAAAACAGACACTTGACTGGAAAAAAGTATCCTGGTCTGATGAATCTGGATTTCTGCTGAGCCACACAGATGGTAGGGTCAGAATTTGGTGTCAACAGCCTGAATCTATGGGCCCAACCTGTCTTGTGTCAACAGCCCAGGCTGCTGCTGCTGGTGGTAATGATGTGGGGAATGCTTTCCTGGCACACTTTGGGCCCCTTAATACCAATCAATCATGGTTTGAATGCTGCAGCCTATCTGAGTATTGCTGCTGACCATGTGCATCTCTTTATGGCCACGGCTTACCATCTTGTAATGACTACTTCAAGCATGATAATGCATCATGTCACAAAGCAAAAGTTGTCTCAAACTGGTTTCATGAACATGAGACAGAGTTGTACACCAATGCCCTCCCCAGTCACCAGATCTGAATCCACTGGAGCATCCTTGGGATGTGGTTGAACAAGAGATTACCATCATGAATGTGCAGCTGACAAATCTGCAGAAATGATGTGATGCAATCATTTCAACATGGAGCAGAATCTCTTTTGTAGTCTATCTTATGAAGAACTGAGGCTATTTTGAGAACAAAGGGGGCCCCACCCAGTATCAACATGATGTCCCTTATTAAATACTCAGTGGGTGTGAACATTTAGTCACCAGACACTAAGCCGTTTATGTAACAAACATGTAGACCAATGCTATTTCTTCCCGTTCTTAGTCAAAGTTTGTTCACTTTGTTTATCACTCACTTCAACTCTCTGGAGCCGACATGTCATGTCATCCACACATCTGTTTTGTATAGTTATTATAAACTTATGGTGTTAATTAGTGTAATTCTATCACATTAAATTTAATAATACCTGGAATTTCTCATCCAGGAGCTGGCCCATGTCTGGCAGTAGTCTGTTGACCAGAGAGAAGCCGTGGTCCTCCCATGAATAGTCCTGTACACAGAAGTCACCAACATCAACAACACAGGCCTATGAAACTAAGCAAGCGCAATTAACAGGCTCATCACATTTGAGAAGCAGAAATCTGAAATCAGTGAATGGTTGATAATTTAAGCCATTTATCAAACAAAAATGACAACCTATTATCAAAACTGTTCATTTAAGTTCTGTCACTCAACTAACCATTTCAGCACACTGTACAAATAATAAATACATCAACTGTGACTTTGTCGTAGTCTATCAGCAAAAGTGCAAAATTTAACACCAAAAAAATGCTTCATATTACCTGTGCTCTCATAGTGGGTGGTGCCTGCTCTCCTCTGGGTGCAAAGTCCTCATATCTGAACTCCGGTTCCTCCACCAGGTGCAGCACCAGGTCAGGTGGAGCGCCCCGCACCACCGCTAAACAAACACAACAAATAGGAATAAGTGAGTAAACAGACATCACCTAGGAGAATGACAGCGTGATGAGCCGGCATGTTTGTAACCTGTTGGTATGCTTTCGCTCCTCTCCCTCTCAAAGCGAGTGACCATCTCCTCCTGTGTGCACTCCTCCTCCTGCTGCTGCAGCTCGACCATCCTCTTCATCAACACCTCCACCTCCATCGCTCCATCAACCAACTGGAGAAGATGAAAAGAGAGAAGGGCTTGAAGAACTTGCTTCATGCTATGTTTTTTTTTTTTTTTTTTTTTAAGAGTAAGTAAATCATCAATGTGCCCTGTCCTCTACTGTTACTAAAGCAGCATGACTGGTAGAAACAACACTGTAATGAACCAAACACCTCTTCGTCCTTGTCCTGTTGACATTTTAGACTTGTCAGACGTGTGGTGAAAAATGACTGCTTGGCTCACCTCTTGCCTGCCGTCCTCATGAGCTGGGCTGTGGGGGCTACGAGGAAGGTGACTGGGTGAAGGAGGTTGAAAGGTGTAACCTCCGATGTGGTCAGGTTCAGGGTTTAAGCCGCAGCCCCAGACGAAAGAGCAGAGCGAATGAGCGTGTGCCATCAGGACCACGGCATGTATAAGTTCAGCCAGTGACCAGCGGGGCTCTGCGCCAGGACACACCAGCTCCTGCAGAACAGAGGGGTAGATGATGAAATATCAACAACTTTTGGAGTCAGTGCCATGAAATCTGTGAGTTTTTTTTTTTTTGTTTGTTTTTTTGTTTTTTTTACAGCTAAATATTCAGTGTCTGCCATTTTTAATGTCCAAACTTGTGCTCTATATGGTGGTCTCATAACAGAACGAATAAGGTTTTCTGATGACAATCCCACAATAGATTGCACTTTATAGATGTGGAACTACACCTGTCACTGATGACACAAAATGATGATGATTAGCAATTTATTACTCACTATAAAATAAACTACTGAGTGTCTATTATGTAGGGAGAAGTGGGTGAGTCAGTGAGAGAGTCATTTTAGATACAGCCTAAGTGAAAAATCTAATGTGTTAAACCACATCACTATTACAGTATATGATGCGAGTATGATAACTGGTGAGTGAGACACAGGGAGTGAGTGAGCGAATGGGTGTTGTGTCTGACCTGGATGTGCTGCAGTGTAATAAGCCAGGGTCTGTGTGCCAGCAGTTTGTTGAGTGTTTGCAGGCTGCGGAGTTTGGTGGGAGCGTGCTCTAGGCCGCTCAGCCAGCTCTCCTCTCCTCCAGCCTGCAGGAAGCCTGCACTGTGCTGCTGCACCAGGTATGGGCATTGGTGTCTAGCTGCAGCCTGTGAAGCATCAGAAGCATCAAGAGACCAAGTTAATACATGAAGGAATAAACATGGTACCCCCATCCATTAAAAACTAAGCTTGATCGCTGATCTGTGTATAAAAAGTACATAATTCAGATGAACTGTCTGTGCTCATAAATATCAAGCAACACACCAGAACATTTCCAGCAGTAGATGATTATGTGTCTAATGACTGGCATTTCTCAAGTGAAAGGACAGCTAATGTGATGTATATACAAGCAATGAGAGTTATTAAATATTTATGGGAGGACCACAGTCTTGGGCAGACCTGTTAGTGGCTCACTGTGATCCAGTAGCTGGATAACTCTCAAGAAGAAATTGACCTGCCAAATTCATTTTGCATCTGTCATCTTTCTTTAGTTTTCCACATTTTTGGGTTTCCTGACTTTTCTATCTTTGTCATTTTTTTCATAGGCAGTATTTATCATTCTCTCATTTTCAAAAGGCTTGTTTTTGTTTGTTAGTCAACTTTAACAACCATAGTGGTCTTTAATTTACCCACAAACATTGATTTGGATCTCTGCAGACTTTTTTTCCACATACCAGACAATTTTCTGAAGAAAAAGGTCAATTTTATTCAGAGGAAACTTAAGTCAGGAGACAAACTTGAAATTTAAGAATACATTTTCTAGGCCTCTAGAGTACAACTTTTAAATCCTTTGATATGTAGGAGTGAGCCACATCTCAAATCTAATAATATTGATAATTGTGTTTTCATTAGAACACATACTAATAGAAACTAATGAGCTCTTCATATCCACATAGGAAGCGTCCCCTCTTTCCTGGAGCCAGCCATGTTTCTACAGTAGCCCAGAACACACAAACCAAACAGTGGCTCCAGAGAGGGCTTTTTGTGTTTTTATGTTACCTGGAGACCACTAGGTTGGGTGTAGGTTCTCCTACACACTTGGAAAGGGATGAATGAGGGGAGTAGTATTCAGTTCATTGCAATCTGCAAATACTGCTAGATGGCAATAAATCCTAAACACTGGCCCTTTAAGGTTTTTTAAGAATCAAGTGCTGACAATAGTCATGACTGCCAGTGCTTGCTACTGTAACTGGCACATCTACATCAAACTTAAACTCATTAATTTTTTTTAGCTGCAGTTGTGTGCATCCAGGTATGGCACAGTGAAAGGTTCTGTTGGGATTGTAGAAAAGCAAAGGTGTAGTGATATCACTTCACTCAGAAGGCCACTTCAGCCTGTGACCCTGTCTGGATGTATTCTTTTTTTATTGGTCACTAAAGCCGAACTGAGTGGAACTGTAAAAGCAATGGGCTGCAGGGAAAACAAGATTACAGCAATAACTGTACAGCTGCAATATTATGGTTTTGTCCAACTACCAGTGGAGGCAAGAATAACAGCACCACCATAAAACCAAAATTATTAAATGTGTGTAAGAAACAAGGCATAAAAACACTTTGGCATTGTTGACTCTGTCACAAAAACAGAAGATAGCTGCAGAGTTTGCCATTATTCAGAATGTTTCAGCTATTAGCCCTGCAATATTTTGACTCACTGTACCTGTGGTCTTTCACAAACCAATTACAAGCTTTAGAGCGTTTATAGCTGTTATTATATCAGCCCCATTTGATACAAAAAGAATAAATGCAGATGCAAATACACACAAGGCAAAAACAGTCACTACTCCAAAGAATTACTTGCGTTGTCTTATAAATTTGATTGGGAAGGACTTGTTTACAGCATCACTGCCAACACAGCATTGACATGTTGGACAATCTAACCCACAACATTCCTGTTTGTAGCCAAGAACAATGTAAACAAATATTTATTTGATTCATTTGCATTCACCTTGTCTCCTAATGGTTCATTGTGTATGTACAGCTCTATCTATGCAATGCAAATCATATACAACAAATCTAATGTAGCAAACAACTCCAACTGATGTCACACAAAACATTAACTCAACTTAATATTCAGCTGATTGCAAAAAAGTCAAATTTCTTGCTGAAATTTTCTGTATTTTCTTTGAGAGTTATTTATTGTGTTCAAGATATACTGTAGTTGTGGTCTTTATTTTCAGGAATGTACATCAGGTCCAGAAGATGGATCAGAAAGTTCTGAAAGGTGTCACTAGTTAACAATCATATGTTGTGATTTTCTTACCATAACAGCAATGTAATGTCTCCAGTGTCGGGGCAAGGGGCCATCAAGCTCCAACAAAGCATGCTGGGTCCTCAAGAAGCAGCTGAGGTAGGCAGGGTGCAGGGCCATCACCATGGCGATGTGGTCCACACGGCCCAGAGAAAGAAAGGATTCGATCAGGATGTCCTGGTCTGACTCTTCTTTCAACATCTAAAAGAGGAAAAGGAAGACAACTGATTCCCTACCAACTAACCTCAAATTATATTTTGACCATGTCTGAGGACACATTGGCAAGGATTCACGCAAAAATGTTTTTTTATGGCCAGAAACAAGCAGGCTTATGAGTCCGAAAATGTTCTGGGCTGATACAACACTCCCACTTTTGCCTGTGGAACGCCTGGTGTGAGTCACATAAGAAATCAGCATTTTCAGTCATCAGCTTTGGCAACACATCTCTGGTGTTGCTGCTCTTGATGACATGAAGCAAGACTCATTACAGTATTGCAGCAGAATAATTAGTCACACTACTTCTTCAACTCTTTAGTATTATATCTAATCAAATATGTGGTACATGAATAAAAGAGGATGTGAATGATTTTCCCAACAAAAGATAACAAGAAATCTGATCCAGTGTGGAACCAATTTTTAAATTCAGAAATAAGCATACTAATACATGTTTTAATTTGGACATCAATGACAGTTCATGCATTTCATACTGCAAAACCTATAATAAATACTGGATGAACAAATGTACTTCAATAAGTCATACACACCTGTTTTGCAGGAATAAAGGCACTTGGACCTGAGGCCAGAGCCCGAGGGACTGCAACTCCTTGTTCCTATGGTAAGAAGGAAGATAAAGAATGTTAATCAATGAAATGATTAATTTATTTTCATGTTAATGTCATCAAATTGCTTGTATTGTCTGATCAACAGTTCAGAACTTAAAAACCTGTTTTTGAGTTTCACATAGTAAAAGGACAAATTCTCATAACTGAAAGCTGGACTAGGACAGTTTCAGCTTCACTTTAAAGCGTCTTATACTCACTCATACTCTCTGGGTTTATACATGACTCAATTTCATGTTTTGAGTAAACAATGTAACTATAAGGTTTGACTGTGAGTGAATTAACAACTTTTAATGATAATATTTAACAGCTCTGTAATATTTCATGTAGATTTTTTTTTTTAAGATAAACGAAAATAATTGCAAACCCCTTGAACTTGACCAGACCTACCATGGCAGCTGCCCTGTAACTGGAGAGACTCGTTTCATAACTTACAGCTCAAAAAATTGCGCACAATTTTAACCAAACTACGTCTAAAACTCACCGACATCATCGGAAAAAAAAGCCACCACTTGCTATGTCCAACAGAGAAGTCAAATAAACTGTGAATGAAAACGCATTCTAACTTTGTTTTTTATCTCTAGACGCTCCAGTGGCTGAGGAGGTTCGGGGGTGTGTCTGGTGTGTTTTTCAGGGCACCAGGAGGGGGCGTGTCCGGTCTGCTTGTTTGTGCACACCGCAGCCGAGTCTTGCATCACCTCCTACGGTTCAACGTCTGATGTAATAACCCGCAATCTGACAGAAAAATGGAATCAGCTGATAGCAGCAGCTGATCGGCTGCAGGGCTATCACGTCTATTGATCAATCATTGACCTAATTTATCAAAAAAGCAAAAGCCATGGTCACAAAGATATAACATAATCCTGCCTATTATTTGGTGTCAGAAAATCAGCCCCATTGCTGCCCCCATCTCCCACCCCCCCACCCCTCTGTGTTCCTGCAGGTCTGTAAACATTATGGAGCAGAGACGAACAGTGTCCCAACATTACCTGTGCGGTCCGCAGCAACTCTGTAGCCCTTCCCCGTACTTCCTGCAGCGGACATGACCGGGACAGCCGAAGCAGATGCAAAAGAGTTTGTTTACTCAGCCGTGCCGAACCGGGCCGGTCCAGTCCTAGACATTCCAGAATCCCCTGGCTCAGCTCCTCCAGAGCCGATGCCCGCTCCTCCTCGTCCCTGCTGCACAGCCGTGCTAAGCTTTTCACAATCGCGGCAACGTCGGGCTCTGACTCGGACTGGTAGCGACATGAGGAGCCAGAACCGGACATTCGTCCCGGTGTGTTTTGTCCATTAGCCTGGCAGGTAAAGCCTGCTGCGGGGTTACTGGCCATCTCTTGTCTCGGTGCAAGAAGCTCCTCGGACTGATAGTTGAAACACCTGGGCTGAGTTACCTACCGTTACTGCTAGCTGTTATTTAACGTTAGCTTGATACAAGAGTTGGTTTTCTAAGCTGCCAAATACTTGAGTTTTCTGTTGCCTGTTTTAGTTCACTGCGCAATCATCTGTTCCACAAATCATTAACGAAGACGGACAACCTTCAAAGCAACCGGGTATTCCCCTTTTTCATAGCGGGCTACCTGACCGTAGAGACGGTCTGCCGGTTAGCTCGCTGAGCTAGCCTAGCCGCTGTTAGCAGATGCTGCAAAGTGTTTCAGCGGCGCATCTGACGATGGGTCGATGACAAAAAGCACTTTGACTCGGTGTTTTGTATTTGTATTGGACGTCCCAAACACAGCACAATCCAATTTAAGTCTAAATTCTTCTTGCATGGGGCACCGAGAGAAATTTGCAGGTTTCAGTCGCTGGTTTGGATCAGTTGTTCAGGAGAGCTTTTTCCCTCATATGTAGCGTCATCGTGACGTAGCGAAACTTTCCACTAATGAGCCGCACAACACGGTACATCTTCTCCATTTTTATCAATACTTATATATATGCACTATTTAAATAATTTTTTATGCATTTAAATTATCAGGAGTGTGCTGTTCCCCGGCATACACTTCTATTACCTGTTGCTGATTTACTAGTGTATTTTGCGTTTTTGTAAAATGTTTCCCCATTTAAAGTCTTAATTGTGTTACCATGTGTTATACTAAAACTAACAGAAAATTGATTATATAAAAACTGTTGTACATATCTGTGTCTGCAGTATTTGATATCAGCTTTTTCCTGTCATTATTTTAACATAACTGTTGCTAGGTATTTACTTTTATTTCCCATTTATTTATTTAATAATCAATTCATTATGTAGGCCTAGTATATAGAATATCAACACTGATGGCAAATGCCAATCACACTTACCAGAGCCTATGAGGTTATCGCTTAAATTGTCATCCAAAAAAAGCAAAAAGCAGCAAATTTAGCATTTATAATTCTGCAGCTATTTGTTAATTACTTGAAACACAATAAATTAAATCAATTCAAATCAATTACTTACAAATAATCATTTAGCAAAATTACAGGCTAAGGGGTTCATTTTGTGTCAGACAAATAAATACTGTTTATTTCAGCACTACATTACTTCCATGGCTGCACTCTTATGAAGTGGTACATTTTTTTAGACTGTGGATCCAACTTTGATTTTGCCCCAATCATTTGGGAAGCATTTTAGCACTTAAATGTACTTAATACTTTTTTACCAAAAATGCAATTTGGCAATGAATTGAAAGCGTTCACTTTATTGCTGGAAACACCCATCCAGCCCGCATGATACTTAAAACTCACCTTTTGGAGCCATAGACCAAAGAGATATTGTATGTTTTATGTACTCCTTTATGCTAAATTTACTGAAAGCATGTGCATTCGTGTATAATTCTTTGTGTCTGTGCATGCATGTGTCTATAATGTTAATTTGGAATACAATAGTTTCACAATTTTATAATATTTACTTCCTGAATCACCTTTATTTAGGAAAATAAAAAACATCAATGGTGTACCCTTATTATCAGACATATATCTTATATTAATTTACCTGTATATATATGTTTATATATATATATATATATATATATATATATATATATATTGTATATAATATTGTGTGGATGTAAGAGAGGAAAGTTAAGAGGGCCTTCAGATATGAGGGAGAGAGAAGGAAAGATGACAGTGACATATAAACAGACAAACAAGTGAAGGTGATGTGCTGCTCCATTTGACATGACAAGACACAGGCTCTTTGGGGTTTGGGAAGGTTCAACATTATGGCAGCAACTAAGAAAAAACCCTTCAGTGTACCGTCACCATTTCCCTATGAGGGAAGAGTTTTATTAACAAACACACAGGCTGGCTATGGAGGATGACCTTCGGAGCGCACACACACACAGAGGTGTGGTCCCCATGGCAACCGGCGCTTCATGTCCCAGGAGACCCAAGGGTTGAAGAGGTAAGGCAGAGAAAGGAGGAGGCAGGGGTGGTTTGGTAGAGCTCAGGAGACAAGCAGAGGTCAGGGTTCACACACACGCACACGGGTTCCTCTTCAGTATTTTACAGGAAGTAAAAATTGTTTGTGTGTGTGTTTGTTGGTGTACGTGGATGAGTGTGCTGATGGATAGGGGAAAGTGGGATGTGAGTCCTCAGACGATTTTGTTCTCCAGCAAGGCGATCCTCTTCGACATACTCTCTAGTAAGATTTTGTCAAGGAGAGCAACGATGACTATCCCCCACCACCCACCCAACATCATATTCTCACACTATTTCACCTGTTGTAAAGGATATATTTTTTTGTTAGTGCCTGTAGGGCGTCTTCTACTTTCTTTTGGAACTTAACAAGGGAGTCGCACTCACAAGGGTCCTCCTCTGTGGGATCAGAAAGCATAAGTTCAAGTTTTGAATTACTGTACCAGTATGTATAGTGAAGTAATTATGTAAAACAAGTAATATGCAAGTATTTATTAATGTTTGTATTTAATGGCAACTTCTGACCTTGGCAGATGTTAATCTGCAGCTTCTTGGCGATCTGGGTCATAGCCTTGAAGTCAGCGGTATAGAAGTAGTGCTCTCCAGTTGGCTCGGAAGCAATCTCTTTCAATTCATCCTCCACTGCATTGCCCACTCCAACAGCATACATCTTAAAGCCTGCAACATAGACACACATGGTTCCCTTATCTGACTGCCTTATGTGGGTTTTTTTATTAGTTCACTTACACTACACTCATGTATTTTGACATAATCTTTACTGTCCCTCTTACCATTTTCCTTGGCCTTCCTGGCGGCGTCTCCGATGTAGTCTTGGCTGCGTCCGTCAGTGAAGACGATGCCCACCTTGGCGACTCCAGGCCGGGCGCCCTGACCCGCGTTGAAGCTGTTATCTAACAGATAACGGAGGGCCTGACCTGTCATGGTTCCCCTCTCCATGTAGGCCATCTTCTTGACAGCATCCTTCAGGTCTTTCTTGTTGTTGAAGCGGCCCAGGGGAAACTCCTGTGGGAGGATAGGACAGGACGCTGATAAGGGAGGGAAGGAAGTGCCTTATTTTGGTGATCCTGTAAATGAAAAACAGACACATACCTGTCTGACTGAGCTGGAGTACTGCACCAGTCCAACATGAGCCTTGTTGTCAGAAACATCCAGTTTGTCGATGATCTGGTTGATCCACTTCTTGACCAGCTCAAAGTTCTCAGGACGAACGCTCTTAGAGCCATCGATCAGGAACACCACATCTGTCGCAGAGTTGCTGCAAGCTGGCGATATCAGACACACACACATAGACACACACAAAAACAACAGGGCATGTTAGTGTGGTAGCACAATGATCACGCTTGGACAAATACCGTCATACATGCACATACACGCACTCACCACTGCAGCTGCGACCATCGTCCATGAGGGTAAAGCCATCTTTGCAGGCACACTTGTATGATCCAGGGCTGCTGATGCATACCTGCTCACAGTCATGATCCCCAGTGGCACACAGGTCCGACACTGTGTGTGTGTGTGCATGCAGAACACACACGTACACACAGTAAATATGTAGGGGCATATACACACACAAAGGGGGGGTGGGGGTGGGGGGGTTGGGGTTAGGAGGAGAGAATGAAACTATGTCAGTTTGAAAATCTAGCATTAATTTTTAATGATCCACTGAGACCTGCAGTTGACCTCAACAATTTGTTGCGTGCGTGATGCATAAATCCAGTGGATCCTTAAAACAAACAGGTGGAAAAGATTGGAGTAGCCTTAGATAAACAACATCTCTTTGTCGGTTTCTAAATGTGATGCTCAGGCTCGTCCAATAACAATCCAACACTGCGATCATGCAGCTCTGCCCTTGGACGAAACATCTGCAGCAAGTACTGGCTGCTGCAAAGCGAGTGGCAGGCAGCAGTCAAAACTGCCGCAGACTGCGAGCGCCGAAGGGCATCACTAATTAGAGGTTTAATGATTGTCACTAATGGATCGGTAATTACAGATAGATCAGTCTCGCCTCTCGGTTATGTGAGAGTTGACTGAGGAACAGGAGCGAATTTTCGTTCCAAAAGGTTGTTCCGGCCCTAATGCCCTCGTGCAACGGGAATATTTAATGAGTTTGCATGGCTGAATGAATATACTCTAGTCTTGTTGAGGAAGAGCAGAGGACAAAAGGGAGGGAACAATAAACTGGAATGAAAAGATGACAGTCCTGACACCTTACCCTCAGTATAGGGAGGCCAGCAGACAGCTCTCTCCATGGGGATGAAGGCATGGATAATGATTGTCCAACCCTGATAGAATTTCCACTCAGCCATCCCTGACTATTTCTTTCACTAAGGACTAATCCCTCTTTTCTGCCTCTAAACATAATCCAAAACAACATCCCTCATCTTTCCCTCTTCCTCTTCCTTCTCCTCCCAACTTACCACAGAAGGCCTCTTGGAACTTCTTGGTGAGCTTCTCAATGACGCTGTAGCTCTCCACGTAGTCCACGTGGTCGTCCAGAGGATCGCTGGCCATCTGCTTCAGAGTGCTCATGTCCACACGTCCCACACCGATGGCAAAAATCTCGATGCCGGCTTCTCGTGCACGCAGAGCTATATCTTTCACATTGTCCTGGGGACGCCCGTCTGTCACAATAATGGCAACCTGTAATGAAAGAGGTGCAAAGTTAGATAAAGTATGATGAACAGAATTATGAAATGTGGCGAGAGAGTGAATGTGAAATGTGTATCTGACCTTGCTGATATCAGGAGATTTGACACGAGCGCCCTCACCCTCGCTAAAGGCCACATTCAGGGCAAACTGGATGGCCAGACCAGTCATTGTTCCAGTGGACAGGGGCTCGATCTTGGTCACAGCCTTAACTAGTCCAGCTTTGGTGCGATGAGTCTTAAGAGACACCTACAGTTGCATAATGGCAGGATCAGCTGGGATCTGTGACATAAAATGGCTCAACAAATGACAAAAAAATGTGATTACATGTTAATAAATCATATCCATACCTCGTTCTTTACGCGGCTGGCGTAGTTTACAACTCCCACGCGGGTGGCGTTGGGTCCAACATCTAGCCCCTCAATGACCTTAGCCAGGAAGACCTTGACTTGCTCAAACTCTGAAGGACGAACGCTTCGACTGCTGTCAATGATGAAGATGAGGTCTGTGGGACGGGTTTTGCACAAACCTGCCGCTGCACAGAGACAGAGAAATGTCATTATCATGTAATCAAATTTGAATAGTTTTATAAAATGTATATATAAAAACTATTCCAGATATGTAATTGATGATATAGAAACTGAGTTACTGAAGGAGGAAGAAAAGGGGGAGGGGGGCGGAGCATGGAGAAAAAGGAGGTAGGGAGAGGAAAAGGGGAGGGTAGGGGTGATGGAGGTCGGTGAGATGTATATGAGGGAAGGTAGGTAGAAACAGGATGCAAAGAGGCAACAGGGGTGGAGAGAGGGAAAGGTGGAGGGAGAGATGGAGAAAAGCTTGGCCAGAAAAACAAGGATGAAGGAGAGATGAAATGAGAGGCCGCCAGCTTTAAATATATTTTTAAAAGCCTCCCACACATCCTAAGTAAAAATATTAATAAATTATTATTATTTGACAACTCAGAAAAATTCAATCCACTAAGGAAGAAAATCAGATGTTGTTAGAATTTAAGTAAAAGCTCAGAAAAAGTGGAACTTAAAGATGTTTTTTAATTTAAATTATATCGACGCAAAATACTCTATCTGTTCAACTGAAGACACCTGACAGAGCTACATCAGGTGTGTGATAGAGAACTGATTTTTGTGACAGTCTGATAATAATAAAGCATTGGTAGGATTTTCAGTGAGTTCAGGCATTTGTGGCTTTGATAAACTAATTTGTTCACTACAACTTCCAGTGTCTGTTAAACATCACTGATCTCCCTTCTCACCCTTCACCTCTCTCCCTCCCTCCAGATTTTCCGCCTACCAACTTCTGATACTGTCTTGCACGCATGCACACACACACACACACACACACACACACACACACACACACACACACACATCAGCACAGAGCACCAACTGTCACACATCCTGAAGTAGACATCCAAATTGTACATTTACACTACTTGAAACCAGCCTTTAAAACACCAGCAACAAAACACTCCAAATAAATGATCAATAAATGTCCAAAACACTAACAACTGTAGAATTATGTTTGTAACTTACTTACTTAAATTCCATATAACACAGGATTAAAACTAAATAAAAACTGAATTTTTTCCACTCCTCTCCATCAGTTCTGTCACCTCTGGGAGTTTATTCCATGCGAAGCAACTCGTTCATACACATCACGCCTCCGTGGAAACATGGTAAAGACTGAACACAGACAAGAAATAAAGTTGGGTCCTTCACCACTTACACAAATGGACTTTTAGAAGAGTTATCTTTTACCTCTGTCTGTTGAGATCAGACTTCAGTCAGGCATTATGAAAGTATTCTACACTGAGGGTAATTTTTGTCAGAGTTCACATTTAGTATAACAAGTAAAAACCAGTGTTAAAAGATCAACTTTAGGGGTTAAAGGTCATCATTCTTACCCATGGCGGCGGCTGTGCGGAGGTCCACAGTGGCATGAGCTCCTATTAGGCCAAGCAGCAGCAGGAACAGCGGTGGGGTAGGCGTCATGGTGACAGCGAAAGAAGGGTGACGACTTAACGTGGGGGTCCGAGCACGTCCGCAGACGGTCCTGGATTGAGAAGCCAGAAAGGAGACAGAGCAGGGCGAAGGGAGTTCCAGGCAAGGGGGACAGCCACAAAGTGAGACTGAGTGACTCTGAGCTGCAGGTTATCAATGCAAGTGCTTCACACACTCGGCCCACAGACAGCCCCCCTCTATAGCTCTTGTGTATGTGTGTATGTGTGTGTGTGTCTGTGGGTAAGAAAGGGAAATACCTGCTCTGGGAGGACCTAAACCAGTGGGCAGGGAAAGACAAACACACCTTGATACAGCTAGGATGGACAGGTATGTATGTGTGTGTGTGTGTGTGTGTGTGTGTGTGTGTGTGTGTGTGTGTGTGTGTGTGTGTGTGTGTGTG